GCTAATTTTACGAGTTGCAGCGCGCCACAGAGCTCAAGTCGGGAAGACTTAGGGTTTTTAAAAGAGCCACCTTTGCTTTTGCTACTAATAAGTGCCTTGCGGTCGCTGTATCGCTTTGTGTGCGCACATAGATGGTGGCACAATAGGCCTTTTCAGAAGCGTCACAGAAGCCGTGACGTTCGACTTTGTGTTCGGATGAATAGTTTACACATCGTGGTATTTGTTTTTTTTTCTAACTGCATTTTTTTCTATATACATATGTACTCTTCTAACAACTGATTTAATAACTTTTTCCTTTTCTTAACTGTACCCTTTTGGAACAGAGACATGAAATTTTACATCCGAGATGGTGCGAGAAAACTTTATAGGAGCCGGGGTCAAAATTAGACGATGAGCATAGCACCGCCTACATTTAGGTGGAAACCCATATCTCGGGACCAACTCGACTTATTTAAACGATCGGTCAATATGCGAGTTATCTAAAATTAAAAGAATGTATTTCTCTTATAACAATGTATCTTTGTACATAAATGAATAAAATCGGATTAAAACTTTCCCTATCGACCATATAACTAATATCAGGATTTTAAAACATCCAGTTGACTTTATCCCGCATATATTTGTGATGGTATGTGAAGTCCCTTAAGAAACTGAGATATCATTTTCTTCTGTGGTAATGGCATAAATTCATAAAAGCTGTTCAATAGGTTCCCTATTTCTCATATAAATCATCAAATATAAGATTTTTAAACTTCTGATTGACTTTATACCGTATATATCGGTTAATATGTAAGATATCTTAACAAAATTTATTTAACAAAATTGACTGAACGGATAATATTGGACATACTATAGTTTAATGCCGCAATTATGTGATATTGGTCTACGAATTACCCAAACCCTCATATATACCACATGTAATGATTTTCGTTATTCTAACAAACCTAATGTTAAATATGTCGGTCAGTGTATGTGTTATATATTTATAAAATTAATTAATTGAAGGAATTTGCCCAAATTTGATCCTTGAAAGTTGAAAGAGTATGAAATGTTCGGTTACACCCGAACATAATGCTTCCTTATTTGTTTTTCACTTCAGTTTGTAATTTAAGTTTATTGTTGGTTTTTTTTTTAATTTAGAGGCACATACATTATATTTCGTTTTTATTTTGTAACTTTTTTTTGGTTCTTATTTTATAATATATTTTTTGTTTTGGTTTTTAAGCATTTTAAAGGTTTTGTTTCACCGTTTACTTCTTAGACATACATATGTCTGTTTAATTATTTTTTGTATTATTATTTCGCAAAGTGCCTTTCTTTTAGGCTCGAAGGACCATATACAAGTATGGTATAATTATCTGCGCAATTTACTGGGGAGCACTTACCAAACACTCACCAATTTACACTCTTAATGCACTTCTGTTTTAAATTTTTTGTTCCTTAACCAAAATCCGTATTCGCGTGTGCATCGATACGTCTATGAACGAAAAAGAAGGCCTGTGATAGCAGGGACCATTTGTTTTGTTGGTTGGTGAACCAGAGAACTTAACCAGAGAACACCTGTGTGCAGGGCAAAATGACCCATGGTGCATTCTATAGGATTCCCACGCTCCTGGTGGTGGTAGGCGGGTGGTTGATGGTGATAATGGAAGCCCCGAGTGTCCTCTAGGTGATCCACTTGGTTTCATCCCCCCCGCTCATATACCCCCTTAACTGGAAACACAAAAAAGGTAAAAAGTAGAAATTTTGAAATTTTCACTTTTTTGTTGATTGCCACTCACCTGTTCAACCTATATCTGAGATTGATGTCTCTAATTAACGTGCACCTGTGCGGCTACATGAATCAAATAGTTTGCGCCATCTTAGATCACCCTGTTTAGGCGCTAATGGCCGCAAAAGGGTGACACGTTAAATTCCAATATGTTTTTTGGTCAATTGCCACGCCCCTATTGGTGGTAGGCGGGTGATTGATGATGCAAATGGAAGCCCTGAGTGTCCTCTAAACGATGCAATTTGTTTGACCCACCTAGCTTATATACTCCGGCCGCTAGAGGTCGCAGAAGGGTGGAAAACACCTGTGTGCAGGGCAAAATGACCCATGGTGCATTCTATAGGATTCCCACGCTCCTGGTGGTGGTAGGCGGGTGGTTGATGGTGATAATGGAAGCCCCGAGTGTCCTCTAGGTGATCCACTTGGTTTCATCCCCCCCGCTCATATACCCCCTTAACTGGAAACACAAAAAAGTTCTCTGGTTTACCTGGGTGAACAAAGTGTGGTGTCCACATCCTTGGAATCGTGTGTATTGTAGTTGTGTATGTGTGGTGCTTGTGTATTGGTGTTCCTAAGTGTGGTGTATTGAGGTGTGTCAGGGATGTTGATATTTGGACACATCAACCAGCTATGATGTGGTGAGTGCCGCGTGTTAGTGTTGTGTTGGAGTGTATTATTTAGTAAGTATGGTCAATATATTTTTAGGGGTTTGGGAGATATATACTCTTACATTTAAAACTCTTCAATCCACTTACTACTACGATTCCTTGAACCAACTTACAGTGCCTTTTTGTAGGCGTAGCAATGAGCGGATTCAGATCATTTGCAATACCTCTCAATATTTACTTAGGTTGTCGCTTACAAGATGGATAAACGGGTGGGCAGGCAGTCCCTTGAAATTCAATTTTACTCGTCATCATGCTATTACAGTATCCCATGCTTAATTGACTTTCTCGCTTATTTGAATAACCTGATCGGTCAAAAATATATTGTATACAAAATAAGTGTAAATTTTCCCGGTTAATTGGTTCCCCGCATAATTGGTTAAATGTATGTGTTATTAAAAAAAATATACCTTTAATTTCACAAGAAACTTAAAAAATTATCTGGCATTGCTAGTATTTCGAAGCATTTGTGATAAGCAGCAGTTGGCATCTCTGCAATGCAATTGGAAACAAATGTTTATTGGTGAAGATATTTTGGTTGGTGCTTATGTTGAGCAAGAGCAAGAAAATTATCCTCCAAAGCTTCTGTCAGTTCTGGAAGTTTTAAAATACAAACATGAACTTCAAACATATCTTTATTCAGAAAACAAGTTTTTGTGTGAATTACGGACTATGGAATGCATCTTATTTCTCGTAGTTTGAATAATATACAAAAAAAATTACAGGCTTCCTAAATTATAATTTTAATTATGTAAGCAATGATCTCTAAATTTGTGAATGCAAGTGCTGCATATATACAATAATATGAGTCGTTTTTGTTCCATATATTTTTTCCATTTAAAGTTAAAAATATTATTTAAATATTATTACTAAAAACTAAATAAACACTTAAAGTGCACGAATTGTTCAATTAAACGAGTATAGGTTAATTGATTCCCCGGTTAATTAAACCAAAAATTGTGCAATTTATGATGTGCAATTATCCGGGTAATACTGTTAAACCATAGTAACATCTTGCGAGAGTATAATATATGCGCCAAATATCGCTTACTTTACACATGTGTACGAGTATATGGTACTCGTAACAGCTGTTTTTTCCTATGGCAACAGCTAATTTCTGCTCACAAAAATTTCACTAGCAAAAAAACTAATAGCCTCTATTTTTCAAATAATTTCCAGAAAATAATTAATAATTATAAGAAACACAAGAAATTATTCATTTTAGGTAGAGACCTTAAAGCAAACCTCAAAGAACACAGGCCCACAAAACATTTATTTTTGCCCATGGGTTTTATGGCACTTAATACATATATTCTGGTCCCACGATCGTAAGAAAGGACGATAACAATTGAAAATATTTGCTTTTTAAGCAATCATAGCGATTTGACCATTTTTGATTTTCGCGCCCATTTAATGCCGGACTTCCCGCTCGAATCTGAACCAAAAATACCACGTCTCATTACAAATGGAAAGTTATTGGAGATTTTAGGATGATGTGTTTTTGATTGGAATGCAAGGTGAGTAGTCTATATACTCCTGTTATCTTCGTCTGTGAGATAGTAGGAATGATGCTGCTCAATACCGCCATAAACTTTGGCCGGTACGTACCAAATATTATATAGGAATAATATTAAATAGGAAGCAATTGTCAATCCTAAAACTATATTAATGCCGCCATTGTATATTAAATTGAGACTTATTAAACAATTTGTAAAGACTCTTAATGATGAGGCCTAAGCTTTCAGAGGCGAAAATTAAAGCGGCAATCTTTGTAGGCCCTCAAATAACAAAAGCCTAGAACAGTTGGAAACCATCGTTCTGACAATTATGACGAGCTGATCACTGACATGATTACGAACTTCTCCATCATCGGATGTAGAATGTACCTAAAGATGCTCATGTAACATTTTTATTTGAATTAATTTAAAGATAATAGGGGAGCATATTCATAAGAGCAAGAAGAACGCTTCCATCAAGATATAATATAATAGAATTTGAGAGACGTTAACAATGCGCGTATACTGAAAGCATCATTTGGGACTTTATTTTGGGTTAATAAGAGAAACTTTTACGGAAGATGATAGGAAAATTAAAACTGTTAATTTTTAAGCTGTTGGAGTCTATTTTAAAATGTCTATTGTAAGAATGAATCGGTATTTTTTAATAAATTATTTATATGTAAAAAGTTTTTTTTTTTTATTGAGTAAAATTTTTCTAGTTTTTATACATAAAAGCTCATTTTTATTTTGAAGTTTAAAAGCAATAAAAATAAGGTATGTATAGCCTATGCGCAAAAATGCTGTATACCGGTGTAATGAATTCGATGACAGAAAATGGCATACTATACAGGATATAAGCCGCTCGTGTTGTGATACAGGAAACTGAAATAAAGAAGTAAAGGAGTAAATGAAACGCTGAGTTAACAAAAATATTATGAGAAATAAAAAAATAATTAATCCTAAAAAATCGTTGTTAATATGCATAATTTTACATATGAGTTGAATGAAAATATTTTCATGAATGTTTAAGTGCCTGTATTTTTCTATAATTGTTATGTTTTTTAGAGCAAGCGAACGTTCACCATTCGAAGGATCGTGTTGTGGCGGTGGATACGCTAATGTAGACTCAATTCCTTCATCAACTGATACGGACGATCTCGAACCTCCGCCTCCAGCACGGTTCGTTTGTATTGGATTTGTTTTTGATAACATTTTTTTTTTAGTATTTTTTATTTCTATTTCTAGATATCGTATAGTTATGTTAGGTGACTCAGGTGTTGGAAAAACAGCTTTGGTAAATCAATTCATGACGTCGGAATATATGCACACCTATGATGCTAGTCTAGGTAAGAACGAAATTTTGAAATATGATCGTTCATAATAATATCAAGAGTGTAAGTATTACCAGTAGCGAGACTTTTGTAACGTACTAACTATAGATTCGTATAAAAGAAGCTTCATAGTTATTAAGTGCTAAGAATAAATAACAATTTTAAAACTAAGTTTTTTGTTTTGCATATTTCTAAAAATTGTCCAATAAAATAAAATTGTTCTACTATTGGTCTGATGATCTCCAAAATTTTAAAATTTTCGTGAGTTTTCTGCCACTGCTGACTGTAGGGAATAAACAGTTTAGAATGTAATGTAAAAGTACAAAACAGGCAGGAAATGCTGTTTACTGCTGAAATATGACAAATTTTTATAGCTGTCTGTGTTGACCCAATTCCAAAAAAAGGTCCTTGCGGTGATGATCATAAGTCCTTGGAGATTCATCTAAAATCAATCGGATAAAAAATATAGTTTAATAAATAGATAATCCTGGTCCTGATCGAAGCTTTTTTTTTTTCAAAAATTAACAAAATGGCGGCGTCAGGAAATTTTTTTCTAGATTTTTGGGAAAAAATCAATAGTTAATTGGTGTTAAAAAATCCATCGATCAGGCCCGAGTTTATCATGTATTCTTAAAGCTGTATAAATTTCATTAAAATCTACTGAGCGGTTTTCGAGTTGCGGTTGTCACCAGTTCAAAAGATATAGTTTTGAGAAAAACGCATTTAAACGCTAGTTATCTGCTCCTGAGCGCTTTGAAGTGCCCGAGCTCTCTTTGTTATTTGTCGAATAACTCAAAAAATAAATATCCGATCACTTAACAAAAATTCTAAAAATAGAGTTTTTGAAAATTCTGACTACCAATAACTCCTTAAGAAAAAGTGGTATTTTTAATAGATAAATAAAATAAATTTCCATATACGAAATTTAAACATAATTTATGAAATGTGCATTTATAATTGAGCAAATTAATATAATTAATGTTTTATTTTATTTAATTAGTAATATCTGTGATATTTTTAGTAAAAATGTTTTTATTGGAGTTTTAGATGACGAATTTGGTGAAAAGACAGTAAGCGTCTTGTTGGACGACGAAGAATCTGAGTTGGTATTCATTGATCATCCAAGGGAGGAAATGAGCGTAAGTTAAAATATAGTTGTTCCCTTTTTTCAATTTTTTATTCATTACAAGAGTGTTAAAATGGATGAAATTCGACGACAACAACGCCAGTAACTCCACCTGCAATAACCCCTTGATTATATAGAAATTAAGGGAATAAAAAAGAGTATTTAATGGTATGTCCCATAGAGCTAAAGCTCATTTCTTCTTCTTTCAATAAATATATGGATCCTTTTTTGGTTTTTCTGGTAAAAGGTTACCAACCTTTTAATTCGAAAAACAGAGAAATTACTTTTTTAACTACCACTAAATCTTTAAAAAAAAATTTTGTTTTAATTCTTTCATTCATACATACATATATATTTTTTTTTGATAATGTTATTTTAATATTTTGTTTTAAAAATAGGTGGAAAACTCTTTATCAACTTATGAGCCGCACGGATGTGTTGTTGTCTTCTCTGTGGTTGAAAAGTCATCGTTTCGAGTTGCAAAAGAAATTATAAAATACTTGTGGCAGGAAAACTATATTAAATACAAATCTGTCATTCTAGTAGGGAACAAAGCGGACTTGGCCCGGGCTCGAGTTATCTCAACACAAGGTAAGAGTATGCAAGTACATTGATATATTGCAACGATCTTAATATCACCTCTTAAGACTGTAGCATTTGCAAAAATCACTGGCGCTTAGAGTACTTTTATTCAATACAATTATGCAAGAAAACAGAGATGCGACAACATTTTCCAAAGTCTCGACAGCCCGTATTCAAATTACGTCCTCGCAATTTTAATACTCGTTCAACATGTTCATACAGAGTATAATATTTTTGTTCATCTACCGCTTGTTTGTATCACCTAAATTTAATTGAGATAGATTTAGGATATATATATATAAATAATCAGGATGAAAAGATAAGTTGATATCCGTCTATAAACGTCCGAAACTGTCTATAACTTGAGTAAAAATTTAAATATCTTGATGAAATTTGGAACACATGTCTTTTGGTACCATGGAAATATTGGTATTGCAGACTAGCGGAAGCAGAGATCCCACGATAATAAGTTTAGTGTACATATCTCCCAAACTCGCACAGAATAAATTCTTTCAACACCCGCTCTGAAGTGCAGTCATGAGTTAAATCGAATTATAACCCCGCCCACTCGCCATATAACGGTTATGTCGTATTATCTTAGTAGATTTCAGATAACTCAATAAATAAAAGCGTCAGAAACATTCAATTTTGCTCCCAAAATGATACCAAAAAGTTTAATAGGGCCGGGATTAATTGGGCAATGCTCGTAGCACTGCTCATCTTTAATAAAAACTTACTTGTATATGCCGCGACCTGCTACATTCCCGAGTTCATTGAACAATGAAGGTTGAATTCTTTTGAAACTTTTTCTAATATAAAATTTTGCCAGCACCTGAACTTACTTATTTGAAAGACTCATCCCTGATTCGTATAAGCTGGTATTGAGTAAATATTCCAACATTTTATCCACTTCAAGACAAACATCGATACAGATGTAAGTTTTTTCTAGGAAAAGTTAACCTGTTATAACTTAAACAATTACTCTAAGATTGAATTGAATTATAGAAATTAAAGCAGCCTCTTTAAAACCATCCAATCACCCCAAGAAAAGCAGGCTCGTTGCGTATGATCACGTGTTGCTGACAACCAATAAGTCTGATAGTGCTCCCCATAAAATTTAGTTAACTAGGATCCGTCCAAATATTTAACTTTAGAAGTCGAGCTCTCTTAATAAAGTGATCTGCGCTGATTTATGTGATATACCTATATATTATATTGCATATTAGTTATAATCTAGTGAATACTTTATTTTCTCTCGTTTCATCGGTAGAAGGAAAAGCATTAGCTGCCTCACACGATGCAAAATTTATAGAGACATCTAGTGGAATTCAACACAATGTTGATGAACTATTAGTAGGAATACTAAAACAGGTATATTAAACGTGTTCTGTACTAATTTAATAAAATTTATTGCGTATTTGCAAATTTTTCCAAATATTCTATAAAGTTCTATATACTTCCTGCTTTAACAACTGTGTAATACAGTTTTGCAATAGAAAATATCTTAAGAATCTTTGGTAATAATTTCAGGGTCTGTAAACATTAGGAATTACATATATATATCTACTTGTATATACAATACAATGTACAAAAAATATATGTATATTATTTAAATTATACTCGGAATAAAAGATTTTATTTTTTAATCAAAAAATAAATATATTTTTTCAAGGAACTTTTTCCTGAAATATTTTCTTCTAATTTTTATATTTACCACTACATTCTTAACGTATTGTCTGTTCACCCAACGGTTTTTTATAAAACCCTAACCTAATCGAGATAGATATAATAAGAAGGGTAATAGTCATATTTCCTAATGATCAGGATAGTGAGAAGGTTTTTTTTCGGATGTTTGTCCGGCCATGCATCGCTTAGATCTATTTATGATGTTAATGAATTGGTGGAATACAAGAATTGTCAAGCTCACAAAATATCGTAATTCGGAAAACCTAAACTCAGTAAGTCAAAATTAGGACAGGGTGTCACAGAGGTGGTTCTAAACATACATACATTGTGCTATTTCATTCTATAGTATTAAAATGGGAGAAAGCCATTTATAACCACGCTCACTATATAAATAATAATGCAGGACAAGTATTTATATATATCGGTCATGATTCACGAGTAAGGTATTTTGTATGGACAGTATGTTGCAATTAACATACTTTCAATTGAATGAAATTGGGTTATACCTGTGGTTGACATTTTTTTATACATATCGAATAACATGCAAGGCATCTCAATAACGGGTCCTTTATACTTCCGCAACATGTTGCAAATAGTATAATATTTTTATTCGCCTAACGGTTGTTTCAAAACCCTAACGCTAATCGGGATAAATCATAATGACAAGACAGTTTAATTCTGATTAGATGATCGTAATAGGAAAAAACAATTGTGGCTTAAAATTTTTTAAAAAGTAAACGTTTCATCACGTAGTGAGAAATTAGTGAAATGTGATAATAAATACGTACATCCGCCCATATGTATTAAGATGTGTTGGAAATTGCTATAAATGAGTTAATTCTCTGAAGAAATTTCGTTTTGAATCGGCGTTTAAATTGAACAAAGGGGGAGAGAAAAAAATAAAATTAAAATTGGTGCTTAAAATAACCTTGATATCTGACTATACTTGTATACTAAAAGTTCCAGTACTTGCTTTATCTTTCACACATTTGATGTAGGATTTTCAAACTTCCCGTTGACAAAATAACGTTACAGTACAATTTTTGCCGTAACAGAAATGAATACAATAAAATCAGTATATACTTAATAGCTTGATAAGTAATTAATAATATTCTATCTTTGTTATTACTTAGTGTCTTAAACTATTCTGTATTAAATTTTCCAAATTCTTGCTAAAAGTTTATTAAATCGTAATATATTAATGCAGGCAATGTTGCGAATTTTTTAATTTAAAAATGTATAAGAAAAACAAATCGTGATTGGGATTAACAACGTAAAAACTATTTTTAATTAAGATTTTCGGGATTACGAAATAAAAAAAAAACTTCATTAAAATATAAATTCGTTTATTACATAATAATAATTTATTTGCAACCATTGTTACTGGGCAAATACGTACATACATATATTTAGAATTGTTTTATTAACTGTTTACAATCTAAAATAACCTTAATTTTTAATTCCTTAATTTACATATGGTTTTATACCACATTCTTTTAAAAATTGAATTCCAATTACTATATTTTGTTATATAACGGAGTGGCGAGAAATCATTATACATAGTAGCGGATGGCCAGAAACATATTTTATTAGAACAATCTATTTCCATGTAATTTTTTCGGACTGATAGTAGTTTGTAACTTCCGTTCTTTTAACACTAAATCTACTTTAGCTCACGTAGTAGTATTTTGTCAAACATATACTCGTATGTTAGTATGAAACTTCGATATCTCTCTATTGTAGATGCGTTTGAAGGAAAAACGAGAAAAGAGAGCTACGTCATCGAAACTGAAAACTTCTCGCACTCACATATCGTTGCATTTAGCTAAGGAAATACTGCAAAAGATATGTCTTACCGATATCTCAAAATCAAAAAGCTGTGAGAATCTACATGTTCTATAAGTATCAGCAAATAATACAGACTGCTTGAAGCGGAGTATTCGAAATTTGCCATATTAGGCACATTACAAAATTTATTTAAAATGCCTTTTCGAAAGCAAATTGTGTGAACATTCTATGAAACGGTATAAATAATATGTTTTAGTATGTATATATTGTCCGGAATTTATTTTGAGAAAACAGTGAATATTGTGTAGAATATATATGTAATTAGATAAGTTTTAGCCAAATCTTGAATGAACTGCAATGCAAATCTGTTAGCTGTGCTTTCAATTCTGAATTGAAAATTTATAAATTTTACAACTACTGCAAATGAATCTCCAAATATTTATATAACGAATGTGATGAAATTAAATAAAAATATACGAATTGTTAAGAAATTATACAAACTGTGTCGTACATCAACAATCTACCTACAACTTTTAATGACAATGTAATTGCATATGTGCCAAATTATCTCACACAGTTATGATACTGTTTACCAGTCGAAACAAATAACATATGAGCAATACATTGACACAAGCATACTTGTATTGCATAACATAATTTGTATAAATATTTTTTAAAATACTATTTATCATAAAGTATACAAAAATAAATTTTGTTTACCCAAACGTTCTTAATTAAATAAATAATTATGTAAACATATTTTTTTTTAAAGATATTCATTATATTTGAACTACAAAACACGCAAAATAGTGGATTAGTAATAGTTATTTCTCTGATTTTCACACAACTAGAATATAATAAATTTATATTGAAACAAATAAGGAAATGCTAACTTTGTGCTGTATACCCAAATTGCATTATTTCTCGAAGTGTGTCTCGGTATTATATGAAAATATTGTGTCCCTAGGATTTGAATCAAATTTTAATTCACGAATTCATTAGTTACTTTAAGTAGAAAGTAGGATTTTGTGTCCAGTATCAAACAGTATTACTAAAGTTGACTTTTTAATTAACTCTGACGTTAAAGTGAGGTTATTTATTAATTATCTCATCGTTGGTGTCAATTTTTTATTTTTCAAATACTTGTTAGTATTTGTTAGTTTTTCTATCCCAATGGGTTTCCAAATTATCATCTTGCTTGTCTTCTATAGGAATTTGCCGATAAATATGCGAACTGAATTTCACATGGACAGATATTCATGGCTAATACGACTTTTAATTCTTTAATAGCATTAAACCAAACAAAAGTACATGAAATAATCCAAAGTTGCAAGCAAAAAGAGATATGTATGTAGATCACAAAAAAATCTAAGAAGCAGATAAGTAAAATTACCCAACAGTTCTTGTTATACTATATGATAATAATTTAATGTGAAAATTGTTAAACGTGTTAAATTAACACACAAAAAAAATTGTAATTCAGTTAATTTCAGAATATGTATATATAATACATTAGATGTCTTCGATTCGTCATTTCTCCGCTCGTCAAATGAATCACATGTAAAAGCAACAACAAAGTTATCGAGTAGAATTCGAACAAGAGAATATGCGGATACCTCGCTAAATTTCTTTTTGCATATTTTAGAGCAGTTTTACTATTGCGAATGGTTCAAATAACTAAATCAACCCAAATAACTCAAAATCAATTAGTAATTTACAGAAAACTAAAGTTAAGGGTTACTGCCATGTTTTTTAACGAGAAAAAAAATTTCTCCACTATGAAATAATCATGACACTATTGCCCATGCGTCAAAAGACATGTAATCGCAGGTTTAAATCACAATTGCTGCCTATTCGTTTAAACATCTTGTATGGTTTGTTCGATTTGCTGGTCTCCAACGCTTGGCGAATCGAAGACAGCTATTACCCCGTCTACAGCATTTTTGCGCACGGGTTATACATACATTATTTTTATCGCTTTTATACCTCAAAATAAGAAAAAGAATAAAAAATAGTTCAAAATTTGCTTTTATGTATAAAAAATCAAAAAACTCAACTCCATATAAAAAAATTTTATACATAAATAATTTAACAAATAAAACTACGATCATATATATATATTATTTAATGTATATAGTATATGGTATATATATATATATAAATATATACTATAGATAAAAGTTATATGGAAAGTTGTAGGTAATAAAAATATCTAAAACTTTTGTATTAACACCTTTTTCACATAACCTCAAGATTTCTACAAAAATATTTTTCTTTCACGAAATTTGGTATAAACTTTCCTTCTTATGACCCAAATCCTTGCACAGAAGTTATCAGATTCAGACAAAATTCTTACATTTTCCTCTGCTGAACCCTAGTCATGCCTAGCGGTAGTGTGCACATCCAAACACTGTATTTTTACTTTTTTAAGGAATGCGAAAATTTTATGAAATTTCTTTTTTCAAAACTGAATCAAACGATAATAATTTCTTGCAAACTCTTATATACCTATATATGTATATATCAGAATATGTCCATGGTAGTAGATTCAAAGATATATTAATATGTATTGAATATGTATACATATATTTATTATATTGCCAATTTTTCATGTTGAACAAAATGTTATTAAATGAAATAAACGAAAGTTTTTTTGACTTAAACAGTGTTAAAAACTATCTTCCAATCTTATCAAAATATACATACATATGCACACTTATGCAAACACTGTATTTCTTTATATGCATATTTGAACTATTATATAAAACAACCTATGTAGTGTAATTAAATAGTTATACATCTACATTTATATATTTACATTAAATATATTTTCTTAAAGAATCTGGACGCTTTATGACTGTTAAATGTTGACTATAATGTACAAAATAATATTAAAATATAAATAAATGGCATAAATTTGTGTGCAAACCTCTAAAAATCATCGATTTAATTAGCATACCCAATGAATAGATAGGTATGAGTATCAGCAAATAATACCAATTGCTTCAAGTAGAGTATTCGAAATTTGCCATATTAAGCAAATTACGCAATTTAATTAAAATTTAGCAAAATCTACCTTTTAGAAAGCAAATATTGTGTGAAATTTATTTTGAGAAAACAGTGAATATTGTGTAGAATATATATGTAATTAGATAAGTTTTAGCCAAATCTTGAATGAACTGCAATGCAAATCTGTTAGCTGTGCTTTCAATTCTGAATTGAAAATTTATAAATTTTACAACTACTGCAAATGAATCTCCAAATATTTATATAACGAATGTGATGAAATTAAATAAAAATATACGAATTGTTAAGAAATTATACAAACTGTGTCGTACATCAACAATCTACCTACAACTTTTATTGACAATGTACTTGCATATGTGCCAAATTATATCATACAGTTATGATACAGTCGAAGCAAATAACATATGAGCAATATATTGACACAAGCATACTTGAATTTCATAACATAATTTGTATAAATATTTTTTAAATACTATTTATCATAAAGTATACAAAAATGTGGGAGTAGTCAGTCCCTCGATGCCCGTAAACAATATTTCAGTAAAACATTGTCTTTTGTTATGACTTTTATACCTAAAGCTTATGAAAATCTAAAGACTAGTTGAATCAGTATTGGTATACATTTTATAAAACTCATCTTGAAAATGGACCTGGTTATAAAGCATTGTCATATTTTTATATATTTTTCGGTCAAAATAAATTTTGTTTACCCATTCTTTATTACATTTAAGTAACCAGTTTCTCACTACAACTTATATAGAACTTTAAATACTTTAATTTTTCAGTTGGCCTATTAAAACGAAATTAATACTAAGAACGGAAAGCCTTATATCAACGTATTCTTATATATGGTTTGTATGTAAGCGGATGCCACATATCGTAAAATTTGTTAAAAAAATGTGGTAAGTCTTATACCTTATTGCCGTTATGCTTGTGCTAAAAGCTTTAACAGGTTTCTTATTTGCGGAAAGCTACAGAAACCAGTCTTCTTGAAAATGTAGATAACAACCCTAATTTTAAATTTTTGGGTAGCACTGTTCAAAGTACTTAGCAGCATTGATCAAATTTTTGAATAAAATCGACCATTGATTGTGTGTTGATGATGCGTTGAAGTTGATTAATGTTAGCAATTTTAAACAACCTAAAAAATTGACTACCATTTAATTACAATTATATATATTAGATTAAATATATAAATGCATCAATAGACAATGCAAATTCAATTTGCTTTTATGTATAAAAAATTAAAAAACTCATCTCCATAAAATACAAAAAAATTGTACATATAAATAATTTAACTGATAAAACTACGATAATATATATATATTATATAAAATATATATACTTATATATATACCTATATACCATATACTATATCTATATACCATAGATAAAAGTTATATGGGAAAGTTGTAGGTAGTAAAAATATCTAAAACTTTTGGATTAACACCATTTTCACATAACCTCAAAATTTATATGAAAAATTTAAATAACCCATTTTCGGAGTTTTTTAAACTTTAATTTGTACAAAAATGTTTTTCTTTAACGAAATTTGGTATGAACTTGCCTTCTTATGTCTTAAATGCTTGCACAGGAGTTGCCAGATTCACAAAAAATTCTTATGTCTTCCTCTGCTACACCCTAGCCATGCCTTACGGTAGTATGCACCTTCAAACACTGTATTTTTACTTTTTTAAGTAATGCGAAAATTTTACGAAATTAATTTTTTTGCACTAGATCAAATGATAATAATTTCTTTCAAACTCTTAATTTACGTATACCTATATATATCAGAATATATGCCCATGTAAGTGGATACATATTAATATGTATCGAATATTTATACATACAATATATTTATTATACTGTCAATTTTTCATATTGAATAAATTGTTATTAAATGAAATTAACGAAAATTTTTCGTAGTTATAGCGTTGACTTAAACAGTGTTAAAAACTATCTTCCAATCTTATCAAAATATACATACATATACAAACTTATACAAGCACTATATATATTTATATGCATATTTGAACTATTATATAAAATAACGTATTAAGTGTATGTTACCGTAGTTAAACAGTTATACATACAAACATCTGCAATAAATATATTTTCTTAAAGAGTCTGGACGCTATATGACTGTTAAATGTTGACTATAATGTACAAAATAATATTAAAATATTGTATAAATAAATGGCATAAGTTCAAACATCTAAAAATCAACGGTTTAATTGGCATACTCAATGAATAGGGTAGGTATGAGTGCTGCTCCTTGGAGCTTGATTAGCGCTAGATGCGCCATTTTGATAATTCAATGAATATACGTTTTTCAATAAAGTTAGTTTTAGTTGAATAGTTTTGATTTTCTTTTTAAATTTGTTTATAACGTGATCGTAATAACACAATACCTATTTTGGATTTTAATAAGTCTTCTTAAAACATTGCTTGCGTATAAAATAACATTTAATCAAACTACTAATTATTTCTTTAAGTTGTGCTACTTTTAAATAGCTAAATTAGAGATAATGATTTGGTTTAATATTTTAGAAAGTATTGAGATCGAAAAAACTCATTTGGCAGGGCGGACTTTTTGAAATATCGTTACACGGCTTACTTGAATAACATTTTAGGGCAAAAAATTATTAAATTTCATAAATAAACCGCTATGTCTATCTTAATAAGAAATAGTTTTTGTGCTGTTCGTCTGATTCTATAAAAAATATCTATTTGGTCTACTTTGGGAGTAAAATACATAGAACATAACTGGCTGGTATGCGTCGATCTTAAAATGGTAAATTTTCTATTGGGTCAACAAGGAGGAAATACCAAATACTCCTATTTCATGTGCTTATACAAGTAGGATAGCCGATTTAAGACACTGGACTAAAAGTGTTTCGCCTCTTTATATAAAGTTAGGACCGATAAAAAAGTTTGTAAAATTGTCGAAATTGAGCACAAAAAAAATTTAAGCTGGTATTGGCTAAATGAGCTAAGCCTTTCCCTATCGCACATCCCACTACAAGCAACCCACACCACTCTACAAGCAACACTGACCAGAGAACTTAAAACAACTTTTTTTAAGTTCTCTGTATTAATATATCTTTGAGAGATAAATGAACGAGAAGGTGCAGGTTCGACAGCGAACAATTTTTAGGAATTTATCAAGGAGTTCACCACACATGCACGAGAAACAAATAACATTTTTCGCTTTTATAACAGCGGTGAATCTGTAAACATACGCTCTCTTAACATAACCAAACGGCGAATATTGAAGAGAATGTAATGTGTATGCCAAACTGGGAATATTGATATGCTATTTGAAACATATTCCCTTTTATTGAACTATTATTTATTATTAATTTTAAGTTATTTTATTTTCATTCATTTTTACTTTATTGTGAGTTATTAATAATAATTTAAAAATATTATAAATTAAATAGAATTGTGTTTTGCCATCGGCATTTCACATTCATGCTTCAATTTTTCTTTTCAAATGCATGTGTAAAAGTAATTATCTACGTAATATGTACGTATTATGTCGTTTGCACATTTGTATGTATTTGTATGTATATATGTACACTCAATTCTTCATGTGAAATCTCCGTTGACACATTTTTTGCTTTTATGTCAAAGAGTCTATCTGTCGAAGGACTGACGCGACGACAAAGCGTCACAACATTGTGTTATTGGTAGAATTGTAGATAAACGAACGCTCGCCGATTGTCATCATTTCCCTTGCCGCTCTAACAGCTTTGCCTACAAATCATTGTAGGTATGTATGTATTTATATACACATGCATACATATTGACGAAGAATTTTGAGAGCCCCGGAAAAATATTTTAGAATTGTGAAATATTTTAAATCGACAAAAGCTTTGTTGCCACTTTTGTCATTGATTTCTGTGTTTGCAGGGTTGTCACTTTTCTCTTATAGAGGGAACATCAGAAAGATGTTCAATTTAAAATTTCTAGCTTTTGCCATCGTCGCGAAAAGACGCTTGTAGACAAACGCATGCTAAGGCGTATGCTTTTATGAATGAAACGACTTAGCTTATTGCTTGTGCGCCAGCGGTCATGAATGAAAATGTTGTTGGTGTGTGATTTACTACAAATTTAGGATTTGTCAATTTGGCTGCCATATTGATTTCTGGTGCTGATGCTATTTGAGACAATTGTTGTTTTTGTACAACAATGTTTGTATTTTTCCTATTGGCTGACGTACTTACATTTGTACGCTTAAATGTATGTAGATTTGTGTATGCATTACTTATTTTGCGCGGTCATATGCATATTTGTACATACATACTTACATATAGAGCAGTGCGCTCACATGTATTTACTGATAATTGATAATATATTATTATATTATATAATATAACATATTAATGTACATACATAAATTATTAATTCTGTAAAAATTGAAATTAAAAAATTATGAAAATAGTAAAATATCATTTTTTGCATAATCTTTCACATTTTATCAATGTAGAATTTGTGCAAAAAAATAATAATTTATCAATTTTTCATCATAAAAATCGTTTATATGGCAAAAAATAATCATGCATATATGAAGTGGCATTTGTATTTCTTGTTTTCTCATTCATTTCATTTCATTTTTCTCTTTATATTGGTAGATACGTATTTTGTCAGAGAACGTTGTTAAAAATTCTCATTTCTGTTAAATAACAGCAAAACTATACAGAAAGTGGTGAACTCCTTGATCTCAAATTTTCAGCCAACCAATCGAGCATCATACAAAATTCAATTTGCACCTTCTCATTGTTTTAAGTTCTCTGGTTTGTATCACCTAATCGAGTTAGTTATAGGGTTATGTATATATAAATGATCAGGGTAAAGAGACAAGTTGAAATCCGGATGTCTGTTTGTCCGCCCGTCCGTCTGTCAGTCTGTACAAGCTATAACTTGAGTAAAATTGATATATCGTAATAAAACTTTGCACACGTGTTCCTGAGAAAAAAGAAAGAACGAGTTTGTATATGGGCGTAATCGGATCACTGCTACTTCTTCAAAATGAAGATATAAAACTGTAATTTGGTAAAGAGGATTGGAATTGCAAGGGACCTTTGTAGTAAACAAATTTTGAAAAAAGCGGAGTGGCCCCGCCCGCTAATAGCTTAAAGTAAATCCTTTAAGAGCCCCTACCGATAGTGCGAAAATGGCTGAAATCGGATTCTAATCCCGCAATAACTAAATGCTTCAGAGACATAAAATGATGCACCCGAGATTGTATGAAAGAGCTTTATAGGAACTGATGTCAAAATTTCGGAACCTACTCGACCGCTTACTAAATTTGGTATGTAATATTATCCTGACATTCTTACATTACAGTGTGAAAATGCTCAAAATCAGACAAAACCCATGCCTACTTTCGATATAAAAATATTTTTTAATCCATCTGATTCTTTAACTTTCCAGATAAAACTTTGTACAAGTAGCGCCCTCATAGTATTTCATCTTACACTGACAAATCGTCGAAATCGGACTATTATTTTCTAAGAATTCATACGCCTAATATGTGAACCCCACTGCATATGGTAGACATTTTGCCGAAATATTGGTCAACCTGTAAGATATATAATTAAAATTCGGGGAAAGTGTTTCTTTAATAATAATATACCCTTGTGTCCAAAATGGGTTGAAGCAGATCAACACTTTCCTTAGCCCCCATATACCAAATACAAAGATTTTCGAACTTCCAGTTTCCTTTATACTATATATAATATATCGGCCAATGTGCTAGTTATTTTATTGAGAGATCGTGTTTTTTAACAACAGTGTATCTTTGTGGATAAAATCGTGCGAAAACTTACCTTAGCCCCCATATAACTAATATTCACGATTTTGAAGAAGAAGAGTATAAAATGTTCGGTTACATCCGAAGTAACTTCCACAAATTTAACAAGTATAGTATATAAATATAGTGTTTTACTGAGTTAACGACAGCCAATGCTTCTAATTCGTATAAGTAGTATTTGTATTATGTTGGAGCAGTTCTTTTTCTGTAATACAGAACTACATAATGTTGAATAATGTAACAAAATGTCAAACAAAAATAAAAATAATACAGGCTTATTTGTTAAGGTACAAATGATTATTTGTTTTTACTATTTGCTTATATTGGGATTGCCATAAAAACTTCGTCTTATTCTAGATGAGAAAGTGAGGTGAGTAAAAAATAGGAATAGGAAAATTGGCCACAAACTTACGAAACTTATAAATTGTATCAACTGATGTACAGATTGAAGTGTGGTAATTCAGTAAAGTCATTTTTTACGATGATTGGGTTGATCTCGCCCGCTTAAATATCGTATCCGAGATATTTTACTCTGGACTAGGATAGAAAATTT